GATTCACTCTATTTCGTGTGAAGTAGTCGAGGATTGGTAGTTGCATTTTATCACATTCAGCTGAATATTCCACATTTTATATAGAATTTCACATAGCCTTGCCTCTCAAAAGGGATTCTCTTCCAGGCTGGACGCAGCACTCATTGCACTTTCGACCCCAAACAGTATCCGATTCCGGTTACCACGACACTTTCTGGCTTGGAAACGAGTGCTAACATGTGACAGTGCATTTCCTATTTGGGTCATCGAAGCAGCAAGCATCCGTTTTTCAGTCAAATCGAGGATGCTACTTATTTTCTAAATAAGTAGTTTTCAAAACTATGAAATTTGTCACCTCACGCGGCCTAGATTAACATTGCATTTTATTCAGGATCCCTAAAAGTTACAAATTCCAAATGAACCTCGTCACCAAGTGCATGCTGTAAAGTGAGTAGGCCTCGCAATGTGATTGAATTTCACCTCACTTTACTTCCCAAAAGTTATTCCCGATTGCCGAGTTACCTCGCTTGCACTAGTTTTATCGGTATCCCCAGCGGGACTAGAACCCAAGTAGTGCATCTCGATAAGCTACACTCATATCATCGTGAAACAAATCATCTATCATTCCTTCTTCATCTTGGGTTAATAGGATGAAAATGACTCGAATAGCAGATCTACTCACAGTTTGGGAGGCCTACTTATGAAGCAAAATCTTTATTTTCAAATTCGTGTATTACTGCGAGAATTGCTGCGAAAGTTCCGGCAGAAGAATACTATTTTGGAACAGCAGTTGGCATGGAATTGACATTTACCAGTAGCACATATCGAACTCGCTTTGGTCCCATTCACACCTCAGACAGGATTCGAAAGCGGCTCGTGCATGCCAAGTGCTCAGATGGCATAGTTGACATTCGAGCGAGTCAAATAGTATTTTTTGCCAAATTTTCGAGAGACAAAATTAAATTCACTACTACTTGTATACACTGTGAGTAGTTTTGACATTCGGCACTCATATAACAATTATTCTGGATATATATATATATTTATTCTCGAAAACCTACTTATAAAATACTAAAAGTGGAAATGTAATGCCTACTCAACCGGTCCTTCATCACCTTAGACTAAATAGGGTTGGTACATCTCATATTTATGATCCGAGTATAAAACGCAAATAACTTTTTTTTATGACTAGTCTTGTTAATGTCCTTAGCGCCCCACTTAAACCACTTTCAATTGCTCGGATGCTGTAGAGGCTGACAAGTTTGATGCATACTGCCTATACCACACTTGATATTACTAATATTAGTGGTGTTTTTATATGCATGCGCACAATAACGCGACAGCATGAAGCACAATCCTGCCACAGCCAGACTCAGTTGGGCCTCGATCTGATTAAAGTCATAAATGGGCGACTGTTTGTTTGGCCATCTTCATTTGAGCCGCGCTGTTGTGCACAAACGTCGTGTCTGGCTGTCTTGTACTCGCCTCCTGCCGGCCACACACCGGCCACACACGACAGCTCATGGGAATCCCACAGCTGAGTCGTGCTCTAGTCCGATCAGGGTTACTCCACTCCACTCCACTCCACTCCACTCCACTCCACTCGACTGACAACTCTTCTTCAACAGACACGGGACCCTCATTATCTCCTTCTTCCGCCGGTCGACTCGCCACGATCGGTCCACATGCTGCCTGGCCCACTTAAAAGACCCGTGCGCCGCTATGCTGGCACTGTGCACACTTGGGACAGCCTCTTCAACAAATCATAATGCTCCCTTCCTTCACCCTCACATCAACTGGTCACATCAACTCAGGTGGGGATAAAACGGCCTGCTCTTCCCCTTAATCCCATATCCAGCATTAAGTTGATTCATCTTCTATTGTTTGGCTGCCGGTAATTACTACCAAAATTGGCCGTCCAGGCCTGCTGAGAGGCAGGATAATTTGCTTAAGTGCACATGAGTGCCTAGACCCATATGGAAAACACATCCCACCTCCTTTCATCCTTTCACCCACTCTCATGTCCCACGCCCACATCAACACACACACACACACACACACACATGCATGTACAGAAGGACGACACACTTTATCGTATGAAATGTATCGCCATGCGCAAGAACCGATCTGGACCAAGTTGCCAACCTTCGGATTGGGGCGCTGAGGCCACAGGAGGTGGGGAGGTGTGGGAAAAAGTGGAAAAACCCGAAGAAAGGGGCACTATTGCCCGATTAAGTGTGGAAACGAGTGTGACGGTTGCGAGTCTCTGCCGGCATTCGGTTCGGAATGAAATTGTTAATTTTCTATCACAAAGTGTACATCCATTTGCATGACGGTCGCGCGCGCGTGTGTGTGTGTGTGTTTCACGATGTGTTTGTGTGAAACACAGGTCAGGTCACGGAGTGTGAAGCTGGTGTGCAGAAGCAGCGGTACAGGTCTCGTGGTCGGTGCCGCTTTTGCCGA